CGGGCTCGACGCCCGACCGCCTCCGCGACTTCAACGAGCGCACGGTGGAGCCCGAGAAGGCGTGCCCGAAGTTCCGCGGCCAGGCGGCCATCCTGAGGCGTCTGATCTCATTCTGCAAGGAAGCGGCCGAGACGCATTGCGTTTCTGGGAGATCCGTGGACGACGCCGCGCTGAAAGCCATGCGCCACTTGCACTCCTGCTGCCACACGTTGAGCGGCCAGTGCATCTTCAGAAAGGATCTGATGCGCGACTCCGCCAGCAGTTTCGCGACCTTGTTTGCCTCTCTTGCTCGCTGCAGCCGAGGAATTGGCGCGTTGAGCCGAAGGCGCGCCTGCTCCTCGAGATGGCCTTCGCGGGGGGGGGGGGGGGGGGGGGGGGGGGGGGGGGGGGGCAGCCGTCGCTGTGCTGGACCTACAGGGGCGGGGACTTCGGGGGCAGCGTGGGCCGCGTGGCGACGAGGCGCGGCTCCCCGCTCTCAGCGACGGGCTTCTCCCGAGCGGTGATCGCGCGCCACCGCGCGCAGCCGATGGCGCGGCTCGCGTGACTGCCGCGCGCGCGGACAGAAAAGTGCACGCTCCAAAGCGCTGCGGAGGAGCGGCGCCTCTTGCTCCACCAGGGCGCGCGCGCCCTTTTCAGGAGGTCACGCCTCCTTTTTCGAGTGCTATACCGCGTTGGAGCATGCGTCGACGCTGATCGTCGCTAAAATTTAGCGTCGACGCTAAAGTTTAAGGATGATAACTTTAAGGCGGGCTTCTAAATACGCAGCTGCACTAAATAAGCATAGATGGATCTACATGGGGGTGCCTGTCGCTCGAGCTCGCCTGTCTGGGGCCCTTCCCGGAGCAAGGTCAAGGCCGGCGGTGCGGGCTTCTCCTCTACTCTCTCAGGGGGGGGCGGGCGGTTGCTCGTGCCGTCTCCTCGGGCCCTGGCGACATCTGGTTCACCTGCGTTCAACTGAACACAGTGCTCTGGCTGAGCCGCAAAATGTTTTTTTGGGGCATGTATGTATGTATGTTTGTATGTATGTATGTGTGTGTATGTATGTATGTATGTATGTATGTATGTATGTATGTATGTATGTATGTATGTATGTATGTATGTATGTATGTATGTATGTGTATATATATATGTTTATGTATGTAGCGCTTGAAAAAGGCGCCTTCCAGAAACGGGGGCTGGCACGGCCCCGAGCCAGCCATCCAGCAAAGAAGCGGGCGCTCCCTCAACGGTGCTTCCCCGCTGATTTTCACTTCGGAGGGGCTTTGAGTACCTTGAGGGCGGTCCCCCTCCTCCCGCCAATGCCATAAAGTGGGAGGAGGTGAGACCGCGAAACCGTATGCGAGGGAAGGTTCGCTTCGCCGCCGTCGCCCTCAGCCAAGCCCAGGCTTGCCGAGGCGACCTTGCATGCTCAGAATTCTATTTCGGCCGCACAGATGGTTTCCCCGTTTATATATATATATATATATATGTGTAGATCTCTATAGATACATCGTTTGGTTTGTCTTGCTCTGGGGGAGCCACAAGAGGTCACTGGGGACCTGGCCCTTGGGGATCTCCTGGGACCTCCGGGGGACTTGGCTCAATTGGCGCCGCGTACGAGGGGATGGCGCGAGGGAGGTGGTCTTCTAACAAGGCTGGGTGCTTTTACGAAGGATGGGTTTCTTGGAAGCCCCTCCCGCTGCCAAGAAGCCGTCTTAACAGCGTCTGGGTTCTTCCGACAAGGCCCCAGCCTCGTAAGAACCTGCCGCCTTCTCAGAAAACCGCCCCCTCACGCCACACCCGTGTGTGCGCGCCAGCAACCCAGCCAAAGGGGGGGGGACAGCACCGACCCCGAATCTCCCGCTCGTGGCCCAGTCGCTCCTCGCCACAGTGGTTTTTGCGGGTCTCGCTTATAGAGTGCCCGTCCGCCGCTCTATCGGCGATGCATCGTCGATTCCAGGCACGCGTTCCCGACCCCCGACGTCGTGCTCGACAGCATGTCAGAGGGTCGGCTCTCCACTCACCTGCGTAAAATATGCGGTGGATACCATCGGAGTTGCCTGTTGTGGCCTGCCCAGGAGAACCATAAATTATCATCGATCCTTCAGGCTAGCCTAGGATGAGGACGAATCGCTTCAGAGCGTCCCTGACCAGTCTGAGAGTATTTCCCGGATAGCTCGTAGAGAGCTAAGAGGGTTTCAGATTAAGAATCCGGAGCTTCAGGGTAACCCCGGAGGTCGTTCCGGCTTCCGTGAAAACACCTCGCAGCGCCCTGCTTGAAGTCGCAGCGTGTTCCGGCAGGCCTGCTCCAAGCGTTTCCCAACACGCGTGCCAGGAAACTCTCCAGAATGTCCTTCGGAAGGTCTTTCCAGGTCCTTCTAGTGTTCTTCGAAAAAGCCTTTCCGAGTCCTCCTGGCACACTGCTACCCGGGCTTGGTCCCCATGAGTCCGGGGCTCTTTGGGACGGCCGCGGCGCCCGATGCATGCTCCAGGCCTGCCGGCTCTCGGAGCTTCGCGATCTATCCTCGTCCGAGCTTATCTTCGGCTCGCCCCAAACGTATTGATGCCGTGTGTGCGTCGCTCTCCCCCCCCGGGCCAACGCGCCCGCCGAGAAATCTTACCGTTTGAGCTCCGTGGCGGGCGCTTTCTGGCCATACCGCTTGGGAAACGATCTGCTGCAAGATGCTTGTGCTCTTTGTCTGAGTCGGACGCACGCCTCCGAGGAGGACGCGCCGAAGTAGCACGTCCTCCCGTATCCTCTTTTTGCCTTCGTTTGCATTCTCCAATGTTTCGAGCATGGGATCGACTACATAGTCGATCTACCAAAAAATCTGGACGCTTCGCGTATCCCAATCAGCCCATCCCGAAACGATGTCCAGGCGAGTTGAGGTGATCAGGGAAGTGCGGGAGCCAAGAGACGGCCGAACCGTGCGAACGGAGGAGGAGAAGGAGGAGGCTGGATGGATGGATGGATGAGGGAGTGGGGAGAAGGAGGATAAATAGGATGATGATGATGCTGCTGATGATGATAATGATGATGATGCTGATGATGGTGATGATGGTGATGATGCTGATGCTGATGCTGATGCTGATGCTGCTGATGATGATGATGATGATGCTGATGATGATGATGATGCTGATGGTTATGATGATGATGATGATGATGATGATGATGATGATGATGATGATGATGATGATGATGATGATGATGATGATGATGATGATGATACTGATGCTGGAGATGATGCTGATGATGATGCTGCTGCTGCTGATGATGATGATGATGATGATGATGATGATGAATATGATCAGGATGCTGATGATGATCATGATGCTGATGCTGCTGATGATGATGATGATGAGGAGGAGGAGGAGGATGAGGATGAGGATCAGGATGAGGATGAACATGAGGATGAGGATGAGGATTAGGATGAGGAGGAGGAGGAGGAGGAGGAAGAGAAGAAAAGGAGTAGGAGGAGGAAGGAGGAGCAGGATGAGGAGGGGAAGCACAAGTGCCAAAAGTCTCTTGGATGCCTCTCGCGGAGCCTCTTGGGGTATCTCTTGGGCGCTTCTTGGTGGCCTCTTGTGACGTTTTCGGGGTCCCTTGGCGGTCCTGGGGGGCTCTTGGGTTTCTCGGGTGCCTCGGGGTGGCCTCTTGGGGCCGCTTGGGGTCCTCTTGAGGGCCTCCTGGGGGCCTCTTGCTCTTGGGGCCATCTTGGGGCCATCTTGGGACCTCTTAGGGCCTCCTGGGCGCTTCTTGGAGCCATCTTGGAAGAAATTGATTAAAGAAGAGAGGAGCTTCAATTAGGGTCCCCCCCAAGGGGCCAACATGAAGCCACAACCATAGAAATACCAATGATTTTGGCTTCCTCGCCGAGGCCGTTTTGGGCGCTCTAACTGCCCGCGACTGGCCCCGTCGAGGTCCAGGGGAGGGGGCAGGGGGAGGGGTCAAGCTACCCGCCCCCCGTCAAGCCGTCCAGCTCTCTCCCACCCGCCCTCCCAACACATAAGTAACACCCGAGCCTGAGCATGTGCAGCGGTCGTCTTTGGATGGACAGCTAGTGGGAACCAAAGCCGAACCCAGGTGCGCGACGCTTGGGCGAGGTGCGCCACGCGTGCCAGGGACGCCACGCGCGCCAGGCACCCCTGGGGCCCGAGCGTGCCAGGCACGCCTGGTGCGCCAGATGCGCCACGTGCTCCGAGTGCGCCAGGTGTGCCGCATACTCCAGCCGCGCCAGGTGCGCCATGTTCGGGGCACGTGCAGAGTGCGTCAGGTGCGCCTGCGCACGTGACAGCACGCATCGGGAACCATGTTGGCCCCCGCCACCCATGTCGAAAACCAATGCCCATCATTGTGTCTGGTGGGCCTGCGCACAGCAGGCCACTCGCCACCACCCCCGCCGCCCCTGTCAAAAACCATTTGACGGTGATCTCGGGATGGCCGCGCATGATCCAGATTTAGCCGCGAGGTGCATGTTGTATGGTTTTTGTCAGGAATGGTAGCCCTGCACACGGCAGGGAGTATGCTGACACCCCCGCCGTCCCTGTCAAAAGCAATAGTGCTCGCGGGCCTCACGAACATGATTCAAGACTTTGCCCCGAAGTGTACTGTGTATTGTGTTTTGTCAGGGATGGTGTGGGGGGGGGCCGCATCGTGTTGGCCACGCATGCTTTAAATGTGGAGGCAGAGTGCGGTTCGTGTTGTTTCTTGACAGGGGTGGTGGGGGACGGGCCGCCATGGTGTCGGCATGGTTCCTGGTTGGACGACGGCCGGGTGGGGGAGGGGGTGTACATTAATAAAGAACTGATGAACCCCTCCCCGAAGGGGAAGGAGGGGGTTGGAAGAGGAGCGGCCCTAGACCACCTACGCCCAGAGGGCTGGTGCGATTATTTGTTGGACGAAGCAGCATTTTGGGGCAAATGAATTCTGTAGTCGATCCCCTACTCGAATCTTGCCCGCCGGGTCCCACTCAGTAGTCGATCCCCTACTAGAATCTTGCCCGCCTGCCACCTCCCCTGAGGCGGGCGAAGGCGACGGGGGCGCCAGCGTGCGGCTCGACCAGGATGAGCATCCAGCGGTGGTCGCGCAACCGGAGGTGCTCACAGCCGGTCCAGGCCTCATCAGCAGCGTCGTCTCTCTTCCTCTTCCCTCCTCGACGCCCCCTTGATGCGTGCCCTTGCTGCCCAGGACAGGCCAGCCACCCTCCACTCGCCAGAGGAGGAAGGAGAGAGGAGGAGAGGGAGGGGAAGGAGGGGAAGGAGGGGAGGGGAAGGAGAGGGAGGGGAAGGAGTGGAAGAAGGGCTTAAGGAGACGGAGGAGGAGAGGGAGGAGCAGGAGGACTGGGGCCGCAATCCCCGCCCCGCCCCGCTCCGCCGCGGAGCTCGGCTCGGCGGCGCCTGCGCGGGGCCAGGTGCCCCGCTGGCCCCCCCCGCCCCCGCCGCCCGCCACCGTCGCGCTGCCGCCGCCGCTGCCGTCGCTGCCAGGGGGGGGGGGCGGGGGGGGGGCGAGGATGGAGTCTGGCCCCGAGAGGCCCCGAGAGGCCAGGGGACGGGGCGGATTCATTTTTGTTCCATCCAAATTTAGTTTCATCCGTTGACTTTCATCCGTTTAATTTCATCCGTGCACTTTCTTCCGTTAAATTTCTTCCGTTTAATTTCATCCGGTCTAATTGCATTTGGTTTAAATTCGCCCGGGTTTAAATTCATCCGGTTTTAATTTCCCCGGTTTCAATTAATCCGGTTTTAATTCGTTTGGTTTAAATTCATCCGGTTTTAATTTTCTCTGTGTGCCACTGTGTGGCTAGCGTTCTCTAGTTGGTCCATTCTTCTCCCGTTTAAACTCGTCCAGTTTTAATTCGTCCAGAATGCTTTCATCCGGTTTTATTCGTTCGTTTAAACTCATCCGGTTTTATTTAATTGGCCCGGCTTGAATTCTTCCGGTTTTAATTCGCCTGGGTTGAATTCATTTGGTTTTATCCGTAAGGACTTCGCCCCCTTCCGCCGGCCCCCTCTCTCGGAGAATGGGCCATGGAAGAGCTAAATCATGAGGTCTGGGCGCCGCCGTGAAGCAGTGTCGGGACCTGTTTGTTTTTCGACCCTGACCCTACGGATCTGCGTCACGGGTGCCACGGAATTTCAGACTTGTGGCAAATCCCTTTTGCTTTTAGACCCTGACCTTACTGATTCGCGTGAGGGGCGCAGCCGAATTTCAGACATGTGGCAAACATCCTGTGTTTTTGGACCCTGACCCTGCCGATCTGCGTGAGGGGTGTGCCCGAATTTGAGAAATGTGGCAAATCCCTTGTGTTTTTGGACCCTGACCCTGCCGATCTGCGTGAGGGGTGCCACCGAATATCAGAAATGTGGCAAATCCTTTGTGTTTTTGGATCCTGACCCCGCCGATCTGCGTGAGAGGTGTGACCGAATTTGAAAAATGTGGCAAATCCCCCGTGTTTTTGGACCCTGACCCCGCAGATCTGCGTGAGGGGTGCCACCCAATGTCAGACATGTGGCAAATCTCTGTTCGTTTGGACCCCGACCCCTCCGATCTGCATGAGGGTGCCACCGAATTTCAGAAATGTGGCACATCACTTGAGTTTTTTGGACCCTGACTCCGCTGATCTGCGTGAGGGGTGAAGCAAATTTAAAACATGTGGCGAATCCCATGTGTTTTTGGATCCTGACCCCGCCGATCTGTGTGAGGGGTGCCACAGAATTTCAGAAATGTGGCAAATCCTTTGTGTTTTTGGACCCTGACCCCGCCGATCTGCGTGAGGGGTGCCACCGAATTTTAGAAATGTGGCAAATCCCTTGTGTGTTTGGACCCTGACCCGCCGATCTGCGTGAGGGGTGCAATTTTTACCCACCCCAGCAATTCAGACAATACTAGCCGGCCGCTCTGCGGTTGATCGGGAGTTTCTGTCTATAGAAGAAGGTGCGTGCGCTTGTTGGCGAGGGTGAGGATGAGGTCCTCCTCCTCCTCCTCCTCCTCCTCCTCCTCCTCCTCCATCCTTCTCTTGCCTCCGTCTGTCCTCCTCCACCCCACAGCTCCATCATCTTCTCCTCCTCCTCCTCCTCCTCCTCCTCCTCCTCCTCCTCCTCCTCCTCCTCCTCCTCCTCCTCCAGCTCCTCCTCCTCATTCCTCCTCTGGGCACCTCCCCCGGGGCGCGGATCCACCAGATCTGTCCGGATCTGTCCGGAAACGGTGCCGGAGGCCGGTCTGGGCTCCTCTGGGCACCTCCCCCAGGGCCGATTTTGTGAGGATGTCTCAAGCGAGGGCGCCGGTTTGGGATTCGTCACCAGATCCAGCGGGTCCGTCCGGAAACGGTGCCGGAGGCCGCTCTGGGCTCCTCTGGGCACCTCCCCCGGGGCCGGTTTTGCGAGGATGTCTCAAGCGAGGGCGCCGGTCTGGGATTCGTCACCGGATCCAGCGGATCCGTCCGGAAACGGTGCCGGAGGCCGCTCTGGGCTCCTCTGGGCACCTCCCCCGGGGCCGGTTTTGTGAGGATGTCTCAAGCGAGGGCGCCGGTTTGGGATTCGTCACCGGATCCAGCGGATCCAGCGGATCCCGGATCTGTCCGGAAACGGTGCCGGAGGCCGCTCTGGGCTCCTCTGGGCACCTCCCCCGGGGCCGGTTTTGTGAGGATGTCTCAAGCGAGGGCGCCGGTTTGGGATTCGTCGGCGGATCCAGCGGATCCAGCGGATCCACCGGATCTGTCCGGAAACGGTGCCGGAGGCCGCTCTGGGCTCCTCTGGGCACCTCCCCCGGGGCCGGTTTTGTGAGGATGTCTCAAGCGAGGGCGCCGGTTTGGGATTCGTCGGCGGATCCAGCGGATCCACCGGATCTGTCCGGAAACGGTGCCGGAGGCCGCTCTGGGCTCCTCTGGGCACCTCCCCCGGGGCCGGTTTTGTGAGGATGTCTCGAGCGAGGGCGCCGGTTTGGGATTCGTCGGCGGATCCGCCGGATCCACCGGATCTGTCCGGAAACGGTGCCGGAGGCCGCTCTGGGCTCCTCTGGGCACCTTCCCCGGGGCCGGTTTTGTGAGGATGTCTCAAGCGAGGGCGCCGGTTTGGGATTCGTCACCGGATCCACCGGATCTGTCCGGAAACGGTGCCGGAGGCCGCTCTGGGCTCCTCTGGGCACCTCCCCCGGGGCCGGTTTTGTGAGGATGTCTCAAGCGAGGGCGCCGGTTTGGGATTCGTCACCGGATCCAGCGGATCCGTCCGGAAACGGTGCCGGAGGCCGCTCTGGGCTCCTCTGGGCACCTCCCCCGGGGCCGGTTTTGCGAGGATGTCTCAAGCGAGGGCGCCGGTTTGGGATTCGTCACCGGATCCAGCGGATCCGTCCGGAAACGGTGCCGGAGGCCGCTCTGGGCTCCTCTGGGCACCTCCCCCACTTGGATGGCCGCGGCGGCTGCTAGGTGGTTAGCGCGGATACTAAGGGGTTAGAGGATTTAGTATGTACGTACAAGTGAGTTGTAAGTAGGTTGTAAGTGTTGTAAGTCGGATGTAAGTTGTATAACCAGCTACAACTGGTTAGTAGGAGATACTAACCACTTATAGCTGGAGGCTAACCTTGCTAAGTTTCTAGTAGAGGTTAGCTCGCTAAGTCCCCACTCTAGCTACCACTTGCTAACCACTTAGTAACCACTTAGCTGCCACTTAGTAACCACCCAGTAACCACTTACTAACCACTTAGTAACCACATAGTAAGTCCGCTAGCTAGCTTACTTACTAAGTGGTTAGCGGACTTACGAAGTGGTTAGCGGACTCTGGGAAGGAGAAGGAGGAGGAGGAAAAGGAGGAGGAGGAGGAGGAGGATGAGGAGGGGGAGAGAGGAGGAGGAGGAGAAGGAGGAGGAGGAGGAGGAGGAGAAGGAGGAGGAGATGTCGAGGAGGAGGAGGAGTATAGGAGGAGGACGGGGAGGAGGATGAGGAGGAGGAGGAAAGGGGGAGGCGGCGGCGGAGGCGGCGACGGGCGCGCCTCAGCCCAAGACGGCCGCTCGACGCGGCGGCCCTGCAGGGCCGCCGCGTCGAGCGGCAGCCTGGCGCGGCTGAGCGCGGCGCAGGCGAAGTTCGCCTGCGCCGCGCTCTGCGCCGCCATCTCCAGCGGCATTGCCGCTGGCGCGGGCGGCGGGGGGGCCCCGCGCGCCGCTCGGCAGCCAGAGCGGCCCACCGCACGTAGCCGTCGTCCACAACCCAGAGGGTTGGGGGACGACGACGTGCGACGGGCCGATGGCTGCCGAGCCCGCCCCACCCCTCGGGGATGTCGAGGAGGATCCCCGACATCCCCGAGGGGTCCTCCGAGAGGAGACATGCCCCATGGCTCGGGGTCGCCATCGAAAAACATGTCTTGATATGTTTTTCGATGGCGATCCCGAGCCGCGAAGCAAAGGGAAAAGGGAGGGCGCGCTCCCCGCGCGGCCTGTAAGCCGCACGCGCGCGGGCGGCGTCTCCTCCTCCCCCCTCCTTCTATCCTCCTCCTCCTCCTCCTCCTCCCTCTCCTCCTCCTCCTCCTCCTCCTCCTCCTCCTCCTCCTCCTCCTCCTCCTCCTCCTCCTCCTCTCCGCCTCCTCCTCTCGCCCTCCTCCTCTCGTCATCATCATATACTCCTCCCTCGTCCTCCTCCTCCTCATCCTCCTCCTCGTCCTCCTAACCCTCCGCTCCTCCATCGTCCTCCTCCTCCCCCCATCCCCTCCTCATCCTCCTCCTCCTCCTCCTCCTCCTCTAGCGTCTCTCATCTCTCCTCCTCCTCCTCCTCCTCCTCCTCCTCCTCCTCCTCCTCCTCCTCCTCCTCCTCCTCCTCGTCCTCCTCCTCCTCCTCCCCCCGCCCCCCCCCTCCTCCCCTCCTCCTCTCGCTCTGAGCTATCTCGTCGTTTTCCTCCTCCTCATGCTCCTCCTCCTCCTCCTCCTCCTCCTCCTCCTCCTCCTCCTCCCCCTCCCCCTCCTCCACCCTCCCCCCCTCGTCAGAGGAGGAGGAGGAGAGGAGAAGGAGGAGGGGGAGCAAGATGAGGAGGAGGAGCAGCAGTAGGAGCAGGAGGAGGAGGGGGAGAAGGGGGAGGATGAGGGGAAGGAGGAGTTTGAACGACCGCACCACTGATCAACGACATTAGCGCTG